ACTGCCTTTCTGAATTGATCTATAGGTTCTGTCTAGTGGATCTTCTTCAGGAATATACAATGTTGAACAATTCACTCGGGCTGCACTCACTAGCAGTCTGGGAAAATAATTCACTGGGCGATAAAAGGGAAAGACATCCTGTGGGCTTGGTTAATGCCAAGTGAACAGTTACAAAACTGCTGGGTGCTCCAGGGTATTTGGTACAATCAAAAACTGTGATTGTTTCCCCCCTGCTTCTCTTTGCTCTCATATTCTGACAGTTCAGCTCTAAAAAGTTCACCTGCAGTCAAATCTGTAGCTGGAAACAAAATAAACTTCTTCATCTCCAGACCATAGGATATCAGACTTCTTAGTCTTTACCACCCTATCCAAAGTGACATTCATAAGAATGTCAATCAACCTGCAACACATGYACCCCTTGATGATGCTGCAAAGGCTCCTTCAAGAAGACAGTTCAAGGAGGGAAGCAGGAGCACTGTGACTGATAGGCAGGCGCCTGAACGGATATTCCCGAAGCATAATCACACAGAAAATAATCATTTTCCATTTGTTTTCTCATCTGCTTCCTATTTTGTTAAAGTAGAGTTGTGAGTGAAACACAAAAAATCCACTGGGTTTCTGGTGCCCTTGGTTGAATGTTTTCCTTAGTCAGGATCCTTCAGTTAATTCCTGCTTAATCGCTGAGTTACCGCTTCCCTGAGGTTACTGCCCAGATTTCCAGGCAGGGGTGCTGAGACAGTTACCATAGAACTCTGAAGGTTACCAAGGGACATCAGAGGTCCACAAATTACTGGTTCTTTTTTCTTCCTGTTTTTGACAGCCATCTGATTGGATTCTAAAGCAGATCGCCATGACCCATAACAGGCCACAGACAGATGAGGCCTTCACCACATAGCCTTTGCACTGATTTCTCTGTTCAGTACAAAAGATGCTGACGGCAGCAATAGCCAGGCAGTACACAGACACATCCCTTTGGAATTAGGGCCAAAGTTCCAAGGCCAGGTGTAGAAGCCAAGTCTATAATCCTCTATTTCAACCACATAAAATTTAGATGATAAGAAGCCTTAYAAGCAAAGCGTCTCCAGTGGTCAGAATCTGAAAACATTCAGACAAGGAGCTAAAGGAAGCAGCTATTGGGCAATTGAGAATTTGAATAAAACTTGGAAATACTGTATAAGTAAAGATATGTCCATCTTCAAGTTTCCAATACACAACATTATCAGATGCCATCAACACTGGATGTTGCCTGAAGGGCCTGGGAAATCACAGTGTGGCCCAGTAGATTTTCTGAGCTTATCTGCAAAGCTGCTCTAATCGCCCCTGAATATCAGGGCAGACACTTGCCAAGCATCCAAATACTCACTTTAATMATTTTCAGGCAAGAAAAGAAATATTTCTATATATAAATAAAAAGCTTAACCCATTGAGATAGGGTCTACATCCCTTTTCCACATCTCTCCCTTCCTCTTAATCACCTGCAGTCRAGGCAGAACAACCCAATCAAAACCTTTAACTGACTTTCAAGCTACCTATGCATGTAATCTTATTGAAAGGATCTAAAATGGTATAGATGTAACCTTAATTCTAGACCTTTAAATTCTTATGAATATTACAGGAATACAAAATAGTTCAGCAATTTGGAAAATGATTCAACAGTTTCTTACAAAAATTGAACATACATCTGTCATTCTACCCAGTAATCTCATGCTTTGGTACATAGGTATGAGAAATGAAAATATAAGTTCACACAAAAACAGTATACAAATATTTACGGTGGATTTATTCATGATGACCCAAATCTGGAAACAATTCAAATAGAAACAAATGCTGGAATTCAAACAATTAAAATTAGCTGGTGATTAAATCAATTGCACATACACCAAGGAATACTACTCAGCAATAAAAAGCAACTTTTTTTAAACTAGTGATATATACATCAATATAGACAGATCTCAAATAGCTATATATTATTCCATTTATGTAACATACTAAAAAAGGCAAGGTCAGAAAATATAAGGTCAGAAATCAGGTCAGTGTGGGCAGAGGCTGTGGGTGAAGGAAGAGTTGACTACAAAAGGACACCAGAGAATTTTGGGGAGTGAGGGCACTGTTCCATACCTTGACTGTGGTGGTAGTTACATTTATTTGTCAAAATGCATAGCATTGTATATAAGAAATTTTACAATACGTAAGTTGTATCTCAAAAACTCTACCTTAAAAGCAAAATCTATGTAAAATATTCAATGTAAGAAACAGACTTCAAGCTGGGTGTAATGGTGCACACTTCTAATCCTAGCCATTGGGGAGGCTGTGGCAGGATGAATTTRAGTTCAAGGCTGCTAGTTCAAGGCCACAGGTTCAAGGCCAGCCCTAGCAACTTAATAAGATCCTATCTCAAAATAATTTAAATAATAGGCTGGTGTAGCTTATTGTAAGAGTGACCCTGGGTTCAATTTCTAGTACTGAAAAACAAAACACACACTCACACACACACACACACACACACACACACACACACACAAAGACCAGATTAATTTACCAATTCTGTCAAGACCTGAAGGCTTTCTCCTGGGCTGGGTCTGGCAACACTCTAGAAACACATGCCCCTTTACTTTAGGACACAGTTTAAATAAAGCACTAATATGTAAATCAATTGCACCTGTATCACTATGATATTTGATGTTTTTAAGCCTGTTCTTCATGAAAGCTTCTAATATTCTGATATTAAAGTCTCATTTGTTTTGCAGATTGCTGYGCATGTTCCTGCCTGGAGTTCTAACTACCTGGATACCACTGGTATCATAATCATGGAATCAAAAAATTATTTCAGATTGAGAATCTGAGCCAGTCAAGTGTGTTTTCTATGATGAAGCAAATTAATCTTTATTATTCTGACAGGACATAACACAAAGATAAGGGACTTCCTTAATTCAGTAATATTTTCATAGATGACTTCTACAAAATTATTTTTGGCAGAAAAAATATCCAGGTCTTGGACATTCAAAGGTTTTAGTTTAATATTCTATTGGATGCTGTTATGATTTGAATCTAGAATATCTTCCAAAGGCATACATGTCGAAGATTTGGTGCTCAACATTTAGAGTTTGGAGGTTTGTTTAGAGGTGGAACTTTGGGGAAAAGTGACGAGATCATGAGGGCTCTGATCACGTCAGTGGATTAATCCACTGATGGAATCATAATTTGAGGACCTTACTGGAAGGTGTAGGAGGCAGGATTTAGTTAGAGGAAGTAGGTCGCCTGGGGTATACCCAGAAGACTATTTCTTGTCCCCAGACCCTCCCCAACCCCTCTGCTTCCTGGCTACCATGAGCTGAGTAGTTTTCCTCCACCATGCCCTTCTGTCATGATATTCTGCCTCACCTCAGGCCCAAAGCAATGGAGCCAGATAACCATGAACTCAAACCTCTGAAACCAGGAACCAAAATAAATCTTTCTTCCTCTAAGATGTTTATCTCAGGTATTTTGTCACAGCAACAGGAATGTGACTAACACAGATGCCAAGACCATAATATACCACCTCCATTTCGAATGGCTGTGACATGAAACTAATATCTCCAATGGAAGGCAGTATGTGGTGTGTTATAAGCAGAGGCATAAATATACTGCTCAGGCAGCAAGGAGGGAAGATTGGAACAATCTAGGAAGATGGAATTTAAGCTGGATCCTTGAAGGATGCATAAGATGTGAGACTCTAGATATTCCAGACTAAGAGAATACTTTACATACTTTCAGTTCACATTTATTTATATCAGTCACTATTTGCTAGTATGGTGAAAYCTGAAAGTCAAGGGCACTCAAATTATTTGTTTATTTATTTAGTCAAATTCAATGTCTTCAGGCCTCAGATCCCTCAGGTTCTCCATAAAGACTACTGTATCCTAAGAGAGCACTAGGTGGGGATAGTAATAGTTCTGAATGTTGTAGCATATTGCCTGCAGAATAGAACCAATCATCTGAGTTGATTAAGAAATCATGAAGCAGCTTTGACAGGAAAATTTATTTTAGCAGACAGTGGGCACAAGATCTGGTGAGGTCCTCTTACTTGCTATAGCTTCACATATTTCAGTCACCACCTGGTCCATTAAGGCATTTTAGCATGGACCCTGGTTTAAACATATTGATGGGTCAAGCACAGGATTGTAGAGAGGGGAGTGTGAGAAAGAACAGAAAAAGGAGAAGAGGCCACACTGGGTGCAGGCTTCAAGAGAGGCAGCAGCACTTTCTCTCCTCCATTGCAGTATRCATCCAGGATCTTTAATCCCCTCAGGGAATGTATTGACGAAAAGAACTAATAATGTATTCAGGAAAACTATTGCTGCAGTATTATCATTTCTAATGAAAAACTGGAAATCACCTAAATGTTCATCAACAGAGAACTACTTAAATCAATAAATGATTATGTGTACATGGCATACAATGAAGCCAGTAAGGAAAAAAAAAATAAGTGTGAACTCTATAATAAATTATTTAAAAATCAGTGTAGAAGAGTATGTAAAATAGTCTTCTATATATGTYTTCATTTGTATACAAATTTATGGAAGGTCACATAAAAATTATTAATGATGGTAATATCTGGGGAATGTAAACTGAGGGAAGGAGAAAGAAAACTCCGCTGTTCAGYTTATACCCTTTTGTAACTATTTATCTACTTAATAAAAGCAATCCCACATAATTTATTTTCATCTGGTTATAACATTGGGTAATCAAAACAATATGAACAGGGGGCTGGGGTTGTGGCTCAGCGGTAGAGCACTCGCCTCGTACATGTGAGACCCTGGGTTCTATCCTCACCACCACATAAAAATAAATAAGCGAAATGAAGGTATTGTATCCAACTACAACTAAAAAATAAATATTTTTAAAAAAACAATATGAACAAATGTTTRAAAAGTGTACTCCTAACAAAGGGCACTTGAAAAACAAACCAACAAACAAAACTGTGTTGTCTTCTTAGCAATTTCTCACTTCATTGAACATTTCTAGTTGCAGACACTTTGTAGCAGAATATTATCATCTCCTTTTAGCATGATCCGCCCCAGTTAGTTCTTAGAATTTTTTTTAAGAATGAATCCTCTGCATCATCTAATACAAGGTTCATGTACTCATTTAAAACAATAATACAGCCCTCCATCTGCATGTTCACTTGTTCATAGAGCCACACCTGCATCCTGCATCTATTTTGTAAATATCTGAAAATGAGATCGGGTATACCAACACCTGTAATTTTTTGGCTCTGGCTATATAGTATGGCATTGTGGAATCTCACACAAAGATCACATTGACAAGAGCTTGTTTATTTTCAACCATGCAGATGTTGATGATGATGATGATGAAGACAACGACAACATTAAGTATTAAAGAATACTTCCTGGGGTTGGCCTGAGATATAGTATAAAAACAGTGGCTACTGTTGTAAAAGGACCAATGAGCACTAGAAGTTAAATTTAGCAACTATTAAAAAAGTTTAACTTAATAGGTAGTCACTGGGAATATTATTGTCCAATCTTCAAGCAGATGACAATAGGGCATAGCAACAAGATAAGACAAAAAGAAAGTCAGCAAATGTGATGTGAATTTCTATTTCCTAGCACGGGAAAGCCAGGCAGTCAGAGAAGACTTCCTGGTRGGGCTGAGGATTATGTTTGAATTGATGAGGTAGAAAAAACGCAGAGTAAGCAAGAAAATGAGAAGGCAAGAAAAAAACAAAACAAAAACATGGTGAGCTTTTCACCTGACAAAGAGGGAAGTCAATGTGGTGAGAACTCACCTCAGAAGGGAAAGTGAAAGGGTACCCCTTACTGCACTCCTGGACCACTCAGCACTGCACTGGTGTGGCTGGGAACCACTGACCCAGAATGGGGGCTAAGAAACTAGATAGCTCAGTATTAACCAGTATGTACCAAGATGAGATTGGTGACAAGGAGAGGCCTCTGAATGCATTAGCACTGCCTAGAGCCTGGGAAATCTGTATAACTGAGGTAGAGGAAAGAGACATCAACAAAGGCAAACTGAGCCAGCACASAAGATTAGGTGCTTACAGTGTGATATAAGCTGATTATTATTTTTTAAAGGATGGAATGTTTCTCATCCCCCTGAGTTTGGGGATTAAAATACATACCCTTTCCAGTGGGTTGCCCAAACTAAGTCTGCTTGATGTATTCCTGGGGAGTGCTCTAAAAGTCCTGATCCTATCTAGCCTAGTCTCTGAGGATATGACTCTAAAACAAAAAGGCACTTGCCTTTTCTCAATTATTTTTCAGATCCAATTAGTACTGGAAGCAAAAAAGAATCCCCAAACCTGAATATCTCAATCCCTCTCAATCAGAAAACAGATACCTTTCCAAAAAAGACTCCAAAGACTGAACCAAAGTGGATCAAGACTCATGAATTTGACTTAATAATGGAAAAACACTAAGAATTCTTGCCCTCATGCATGCTTTAATGTGTACAAATGCATTTTAAAGCAAATTCTGATTTTTTCTTTGCTAAATATAGAAGCTTTGCCACATATTTAAAGTAATATTTGATGAGAGCTCAATCCTGAGAGTCTCCTTGAGAAACACTGTCCCATTTTTGCAAATGTTGGGGATGGGAGTAAGTCTTCAGATTAGAGAAAACCACCTCCCTAATCAGTAGGCTTGCTGTCTCTCACCATCCCAGATACCACAGAATAACTAATTCAATTTATTTCTCTAAATTCCAAGTTTACCCATGTTGACTGGATACTTTTTAAATCCGATTATCCTTTTTTTTTTTCCTTCAAAATTTCCCCCTATTTTTCTCTTGAGAAATTATGTTAGGTCTGTAATAATTCTCTTTGTCCATTTGGTACATTTAGTCAAGCCAGGCTTGACTGCTACCACCCTTGAGGAATTATTTGTGCTATAGTATCAACAAAGCAAAGAAACACYGCCAGTTATTTTGGAAAATGATCATAATAAAAATGCTGATTATTTATCACTAGAAAGAGAATACTGAAGCACTTTTCTTATGAAAACTATTGRAGGCTATAGGCAGTTTAAGAACAACTGAGGAAATATTAAGAGAGAAAAAAAAAGGAATATTACCCTGTTTCTAAAAACTCTCCTGGCTGGAATCATAAAACAACTTTTTCAACAGCAAGAAATAATATATCTCAYAACATGGGAAATCTTAGGTCTTGGTGGATTTTTTTCTTTTAATTTTTTGTAGGTCACAAAGTAAATTAGAAAACTCCATGTGCAGGGGGAAGGAGGGGTTGGGGAAGCACAAACCACTACCAAGTGGTCCATGTGGCAGCCAGAGAGCTGCCTAACCCAGAATTAAATGGGCCTGTCTGCTGATCAGAAACAGCAAGTGCTGACTAAGTCTAGATCAGAATTATGCTCTAGTAGCTAAGAATAAGGCACAAAGTTCCTGGTTTCATTTCAAGCCACTCCTTGGCTTTCTCCAACTTTGAGAATRTATCCCAGCTTGGATCAAGAGTGAAACCAGAGAAGCTACACTAGATGGGCATTGGCCTCTCTCCAACACGCTTATTCCTAGATTCAGCTCCTAGCAAACCCCATGCAAACATTCAGCATTCCACAGCTGAGGCCACACACACCATCAGGTGGACATGCCACCAATATACTTTCTCACACAGAGAAAACAGACTGGGAGATAGGGAGGGAGAAGGTCAAGAAGAGGGTGAGGAGGAGGATGCCTCATGAATGTTTTAAAAGCCATCTAAGAGAGACAACTCATGGATATTTCTGTGGATGTCAACCTGAGAAAAGCCATTTTTAAGCAACTCACTCATTCCCCTGTTCCACTCCCTCCCTGTCAATCCCCAGAACCATGCCACAGCAAACTGAGAAGCTGTAAAGATTTGTGGATGAAAGAAAAAGCTCCAAAATATCTGCAAATGTTACCTGAAGRAGATCTAAAATGATGGATTAAAGTAAAAAACTGTGACTTAGAACTGGAAGAAATATCAGCACATGCCACAGGACATCAGGAGGAAAGCATATGTGCCAAAAATCTAGAGAGGCTCCCCGAAAGTTCCTTCTCAGCAACCCCTCTCAAGGAGAACAAGCATATTGTACTTTTCACATAATTGCTTTTCAGGTCTGCCTCCCAAATAATTCCTCAGTGAATACCTAAGTCAGCAAAATAACAGGAATTTTTATATTGATCCTATAGTACTGGCAGGTCTGTGAGGTATAGGACTCAATCTGGTCAAACACATGAAATATTGCCAACCTGCAAAATAAGTTTTTATTTAATGTAGATGATGCAGAAAATGTGTCCATTTTATTCCTTTTTCCAGATGGCAGACTTCTTTTTTCTTATACAATGCCCATTTTTATGACAATTATGCCCAGACTGGCGTTCAATGAGTCCATTAGAGCCAGGCAGGTCAGCATAACTTCCTAGGCAGTCTGACCCCTGGGGACTGGGAGTCTGTCTGTAAACAAGGTCCTGGTTAGGCTGACCTGCATCCTGTACCTCCAAGGTTACTCTCTCACTGAACTTCAGATTTGACCCCCACTGTTCTATTTCTAGGCATACATTTACCTAACCTCCATTACTATTTCACCAGCCCATCAGCCACTTTGCAGTAATGTCTCCTACTTAACCTGGTCCCTGGTACTCTGGCACCTGACCACTTCAGAGGGGAGTACTACTACCCCTTACAGAGTGATATATTTTCAAAAAACATGTTATTTGCTTTCAGATTATAAAAATTCTCCAGAAATAAAATATAACTTGTTCAACAAACATACTAAACATCTCTTATTGAAAGATTGTTAGTGCCAAAGGTACAATTAATAAGGCACTCTTCTGGTCCTCAGAGCACTTACCTATTACTAATATACCACACTGGATAGAAATCAGCCAATCCCAGCAAAGTCATATTATGGAACCAAAGCAAAATAATACTACTACTTCAGATTAATTTTAAACTTTATAGTTTTCACAGGGATCATATGTGTGTGTGTGTGTGTGTATGTGTGTGTGTGTGTGTGTATAAATATACATATATTATATGTTAATGATCTCAGGTCAAATTATTACTAGTGAATTGAAAGAGGGCCACCCTTAACACCATTTAACCAACCTTATTTGTGCTACCTCTATTCCTATCCATTTTAGCATATCTTCCTCATAAATCTCCCTCTCTCTATAGCCTCAATAAGAATATTTTAGAAACATGTTTCCTAATTCTGGGTTATCTATTTAATGCCTGGTCTGCTAGAAGAAACAAAATTTGGGAGCCCAAAATGACATGACAGATCAGATCTAGGTTGAAGAGTTCAATAAGCCCGGGGTGGCTAAGTGAGTTATATGGCAGCAGAGCCAAAGGATCTTGGGTCTCTCAATCATCCCTATAMCTCCAAACAACCTAACAGTATCAAGTCACCCACTGAAAGGAGTTAACAGGTAGGACCAAGCAGAAATAAATACTGCTTGAATGATCCTCAGTCCACACACTCCTACGAGCAAAGAACACTTGATAGTTCATTAGACTTGAATTCACCAACAAGGCAGAACAAAAGGGAGTTTGGATAGATGAGGTGATGATTTATGACTCTTGAGTTTGCACTTTTTAGAAGTTCTACTGGTAGAATTTTAGAAGCTTTTAAATATTGTTGACAAAAAATGTAGAAATTTGRTAATCCAGTTTTATTCCTGCCATTTTATAATAATAGGTCAAAAAGATTCTTTTTTCACATATCATAGCCTAAGTATTCTGATCTAATTCTATTTAGAATTGAACTTCACCATTGTCTATAAAATGCCACTTAATGTAGCCAATAACTCTTGATTCCACATATGAAAACCTGCCTCTCTTCTATGATGCTACTATCTACCCAGGTGCTCAGCCCCCAAACTTGGGCATCATCTTTGCTTCCTTACAATTCCTCATTCTACATACCCGATTCATTATCAAGTCCTATTTGTTCTGCCACCTGGAAATCACACCCTTCTCTCCAAGTTCACTGCTATCACCTTACCCAAATCATCATCAGGTGTCTTCTGGGATACTGTGGTAACCTCCTAACTTTTTACCTTGCTTCCACTTTTGTTCCTGTACAATCTATTCTCCACAAAGCAGCTAATGATCAGGATGCTCATAGCATGCAAGTAAGTCATGGTAAATTTGGTCCCAACAAATTTGACATTGTGTACTGGGCAATGATATAACATACAGGAGGATGAGGGGTAATTTGAATCTGTCAGAGCTGGTGATCTCATGGCATCACTACACTTG